CGACATTTTTGCAGTCATTACTGATAAGTCTCTGAAATGCTTTCTCCATTGCAAACATGTGCATCTTAATGGAAACCATGGCCTCGCTCCCCCCGCCACAACAAGCGCCGCCAGCCGCGTGGAGCCGGGCCGGGTCTGCGTGGGCGCCCCGCGGGCGGCGTGGGGAGACGCCGGGGGGCTCCTGCCTTACCTTAAGAAATCGAGCCAGCCATCATGAATGATGGAGGGGTCCAGCTGCAGGGAGAGGAAATTCTCACTGATTATCCTGACAGGGCTCTTGGTGTTGACATCAAGGAGAATGAGAGTTCTTCCCTTCACACCTGAAGGTTTCTCCACCGGCAGCGCTCTCCTGTCCCCGACCTGGGAGGACAGCGAGAAGGTGGCCATGAGCGCCAGCCCAGGTGCCATCAGGGCTAAGAGCCCGGGGGGACAGGAGCTTGGATAGGGCATGCCGGAGAGCAGGAAACCCCTAATTAACTCGCTGTCTGCAGGGGCTCGCTGGTGGCTAATTGTCCTTATCTAAAGTGTGGGGCGCTCTGCCTTTTTTTGCAATGTTTTGGTGCTGGTGGAGGGGAACTCACGCCCCTGACCAGCCTTTCTCGCTGCCGGTGCCAAGACTCCTTGCAGCCAGCACCGCCCCTTTAAGAGATGCAGGCTCCAGACATTTTTAACTTTTTGAAGGTAAGGGGAGGCTCCTGGTTTAACCCCCTCGTCTCGGGGCCCGCCGGCCTATCTGCTGCTCCGCCAGCACCGAGCTTTCGCTTTGCCCTTGCTCCTCCGAGGGCAGGCGTCCCGTTCCGCGGATGGAAAGCTGAAACCAGGATGGCTCCAGAATGGGAACCGGGAACGGTGCGCGGCTCTCAGCTTTAACCCCTGCACGGCATCGCGCGCCCAGCTCATCTGCGGCACCAGAGACGGCTCAGGCGGTAAGGAAGCGGCGGTGATGCCGCTCTGGACCCGGGGAGGAGGTTAATTACATTCCCAACCGCGGACAGGGGGCTCGACCGTCCCGCCGCGTAGGCGTGGGCTCTGCAGAGGCGAGTGGGACCCACGAAACATGCCGACCGGTGGC